CATATTGGAGCATTTGCAGCTGAATTATATCATAGGGTCAGTGCATTCATCTGGCAACTGATTTGCAACATTATGCAAATGAATTATCCCTTGAACTTTAAGTTCACATATTTATTTAACGAGGATCTAGATAATTCATAATTAACATCACACATAATTTTCAGCTGTCAATCATCTCTCCCCCTAATGTTAGAAAATCTAACATTCATTCCAACCTTATTTGGAAGTTCATCTATGTGCGTGGTGGAGCAATTAAAATCGTAATCGCACATTTTAATATTTTAGATGAAAATTATATGGTTACTGACCCTGAACCAATTTTAATGGGGAGACCTTGTTGGCTTGATGCATACATGTGTTGCTACATGTTAAATAAATTTATCTCACACCAAATTTTGTTTTGGGAGTTCTGTTCTCATAACCATGATTTAGCTATAGTTAGAGGCATACAATTTTAGCTAAATCAACCAGCATTATCAATATAATTTCATAATTTGGAACTGTGCTCTTAATTAACAATTCGAGCAAACAACCTTACATACACCATTTGTAAGTTGACAATAAAACACATGTGATCATCTCATAGACGCATCTATCATATAGTTGCAGATGATCCACATGGAAGGTGAATGGGCCCATATTCACCTTTTTATATGTTCCAAAAACTTCAGGGGATTACAATCCCAACCTTAGCTGGTACAATGAAAACAAGCAATACAAGAGAATTCTTGAAGAATCTTTTATTTCTTCATCATATAAGCCTCATAAATTCTCAATTACGTTTGCATCACATTTAAATCAGAATGGTCAACTGATCATGCCAACTGATTTTTATTTCAGTACACTTATAGTTTACTTTTGCATGTGATTCCATCAGCATGCACATGTTTGTGTGCAACAAACAAGAGGAAAAAATGGGTAATATTTATAACCCTCTTCAATTGTAGTAATTTAAAGATATTAAATCTTTATAATTTATAGTCTCAATATTTCTTTTCAATTCATCCGAAACTTAAAAAGTTTCTTTTGAGATTTACTACAACCCAATATTATTCCATTGATAATAGCACAACTCGTTAGAGCTTGCAATTTAATTTTGTGTACTATCACATATTTCATGACACCATTCCTATGGTGAGCATCTCCTTCAAGGAGGAAATTATATTATCATTGTCATGGTCAAAATCATTACGAGCAAGATATGTTTCTTGCTTTACTTTTGTTGTACCATAGGTACACAACCAATGACAAATTTGTATTGCCACACAATAATGACTACAACCATTATAGGCAAGAACTATTTCTTTCTTTTGCCCTTTCGGTAGTTCACAATAAACATACCATAGTGACGTATAAACACACAATACCATTAACTATTTCTGGTAAATAAAATGTATTTCCTCTCAAACCTCCCGTAGAGGTGAATTCTGGTGTATATATCATTTTTCTCAAACCTTCCATAGAGGTGAGTTGTGGCATATATCCAACCTATAATGATTTTATCACATCTGGACTCATTCTCTTATAGAATGGTCGAGCATTCACGATACTCATCAAAAGTCACATTCTCTTCAAGGAATGGACTAATTATTTATATGTACTTCATAAATTTGCATTACAAGCACATCGTCGTGGCTTTAAAATTCATCATATTTCCATGACACACCTCAACATCACTTTGAAGGATCAAGTGTATCATCACTTTATCTTCTTGTCTTTTGATGGAGGATTTATAAAACTGTCAAATTGGGTCAACAACATTCACAAGTCCAATGACCTTTCATACCATTTTATAATAAAAATTGCCTTCACATTTTGAAGGACTATTTGGAGACCCCGTAGTGTTCTTTCTTTTATAATTATCACAATGATGACTATTATAATTCCGTCATTTCATTCCCCTTTTAATATCGTTAAATATTTGTCATCTTTCAGATTAACTATTTACTGCTACCACATTCATACGATAGAATAGAGCAAGTGAACATGCGATTCCAAAATTATCATATGTTGCTACCACATTCTTTTCAAGGAATGAAGCAAATTCAATAGGACGAATTTCAAGACTTTTCATCAAAGCCTTAGTCATCATTATATCATCACTATGGTGCATTGACTCAAACTCAATGTCTTATCCATATAAGGCGTTTTACGCCATAATTCTATGGGACTTGAGCCCAATCACGGTGCATCAAAACTCAAATTGATGTCTTACCCTTTTGGTGCGATAGAACTTGAATCTATCGTCTTATCCTCAAATATTTTTCATTATGGTGCATCCGAACTTTAATCAGATGTCTTACCCTTTTGGTGCGATGAAACTTGAATCCATCGTCTTACCCTTAACCAACGGTATAATAGACCGAAGTACAACATGACTCACCCTTTGAGTCTTTCAAAACAATCAAAAAAACATTCAAACTCGTGCTATATACCTTCTTCTATTTAAGAAGTTTTGTATAGCATGTTATATTCAACCAATAGTAGTATATGTCTTCGGTTCTTGATAATTGTTAGTGACTGAATATTATTTTTATTCTAAATCATAAATTATTCTAGAAAATACATACCTGATTTTATGCATATAATACTTTGATCTTCATAACGAGATCAACCAAAATATGAGCTAAAGATAATCAAGAACTCACTCTCAATTGAATAGAGACTCGTGCTGATAACGTGTTATAAAATTAAACTCATGGCAATATAAATATAAAGATATGAAGACAAGAGGAGTAAGATGGAAGATAAGACTTTCTTTTATTCAAGTGTATTATACAAAAGGTGAATGATATCTCTATTTATAGAATTGAGATATCACCCCAAAGGCCACCATGATAAATTCCCAATTAGTAGGTATATAGTTATCCAAATGGTTCTTATCACCTTGGAAACATGTATACATGAATACAATTAAGTTTTGAGTATATTTAAAGAATCCACACAATTCAATGGATTTATAACAACTAATTTTTTATTTTTATTTTTTAAAAGGATTTTTCTCCCCAAACTCTCAAATTATCATCTTCTTCTCCACATTTCCCTCATCTTTGCCACTTCACTCTCTCATTTCAGCCATCAATTGAAAGGAAGCTGAATTCACTATTATATTACAAACCTCTTCTTATGCCCCTAAGAAGGGTCCAATTAAAGCCAACTATAAAAGGGTATGCTTTGAGATTTACATTTCTGATGTTAAAATATTAATGGGTATTTTCAAGAACCGAAACAAACTTTCAATTTTGGTATGAAATGTTATTTTGGTGAATAGTTTTTGTTTGTTTTCTTGTAAATAAAAGAGCTTTGAATAGACTTCTGCTAGTTTTATATTCATGCATATTTCAGAAATTCGTAAACTTGCTGTAGAATTCTAGGAGATGATGCGCTATTAGAAGTGTGGGGTGATGAACTAAAGATGGTTTTAGGTGTAAAGTTTGGAACTTTATGATGAAGCTATGTTATTTATGGTGGATGGTTTAAGCATTTCATAGCTATGTATTCTTTGCAATTTACTCAAGTTTGAAATGTTATTATCAGTTCACCAATTTCAAAATGATTTAAGTTTTAAAATTTCTTTATTAGAGTTTCTATTAACATTTCCCTGTTCGTCTTCTCATTGAGAAAGAGTGTTTGTTAGGGTCTAACCGGAGATCTTGTTATTTCAAAATAATTTTTTGGATGTAGTATTGCATAACTTTGTCTTAAATGTAGCTACATGGTCAATGAGGATTCATGTAGCTGACCCCTACTTGCTTGTGATTGAGTCACAGTATTGTTGTTGTAGTGTTATATACTTCCTCCGTTTTAAAAAGAATGAAGAGGTTGAAAGTACGAGGGAACCATCTGCTTTTCCGTATCATTTGGATGTTGATTTATACATCCTTTGAAATAAAATGTTTTGAAATAAAATGTATATAATTATGAGTTAGCTTAAATGGTTACTAGTTCTCTTCCATGTTCTGAGATGACCCTCACATACTTTCTTCCCCTTTCCCCAGTTCACGTTCTTTTGTGTGCTTCCGACTTGGTTTGCAGTAATGTATCAAAGATTGTTTAAGTTGTTCGAATTATGTATTTTGAAGTCAATGTATAGCCAAGGTTGAGGACACTGATCCAACACACAGTGAATTGGACTGATGGAAATTAAAGAAGTTTGTTATGTTCCGGTGTCTCTGATTTTGCTCTTTCTTATTATAGTTAAAAGGATTGAAGTATGTTGTGCTAGTTAGTTTACTGTCCTAATTTGTTTACTTTTTTGGGAATTAATTCTTTTGGCTTTTGATGCAGATTCCGTACAGGCTGGACTTTGTCGTTGGAGCATACCACTAATTGTCTTTTCATTTTAGTTGAAAACTATTAGAAGTTGGATCAGCTGCCTCTTTGGGAATTACCCTTTGTACCCATTACGATTGATATCTTGAATGGCTGGATCTTTGATGCACTATTAGAAGTATGGGGTAATGAATTAAGGATGGTTTTAGGTGTAACGTTTGGAACTTTATGATGAAGCTATGTCATTTATGGTGGATGGTTTAAGCATTTCATAGCTATGTATTCTTTGCAATTTACTCAAGTTTGAAATGTTATTATCAGTTCACCAATTTCAAAATGATTTAAGTTTTTTTTTTCTTTATTAGAGTTCCTCTTAAGATTTCCCTGTTAGTCTTCTCATTGAGAAAGAGTGTTTGTTAGGGTCTAATCGGAGATCTTTTTATTTCAAAATAATTTTTTGGATTTTTAGTATTGCGTACTGTCTTAAATTTAGCTACATGGTCAATGAGGATTCATGTAGCCGACTCCTACTTGCTTGTGATTGAGTCACAGTATTGTTGTTGTAGTGTTATATACTCCCTCCGTTTTTAAAAGAATGAAGAGGTTCAAAGTACGAGGGTGGAACCATCTGCTTTTCCGTATCATTTTGGATGTTCCTTATTTATTTATATGTTTTTCTTGTACCAAGTGTTCTCTAACTTCGTATTAAGTTATTTTATTGACATCTATCCGGACAGGTTGGAAGAAGACTGAGTCAGAAGCCGCGACACTAAAAAATCACCTGGAATCCATCACTCTTTTGAAGCTTAATGCTTAAGACAGGGCATCACATTTGGATGGTGCACTGAAGGAGTGCATGCGACAGATACGTAATTTGAAAGAAGAGCATGAACAGAAGCTGCATGATGTGATCCAGAATAAAACCAAACAGTTTGAAAAGATGAAGCATGAGTTTGAAAAAAAGATAGCTAACTTGGACCAACAGGTCTGCGGCAGAAAATTCTGCACTCTCAAGCTCTTTGCAGGAGAGTTCTAGCATGGTGATAAAGCTCAGTGAAAAAAATCCCAAGCTGAAGCAGAAATATTGAGTCATGTGAAAAGGGATCTGAAATATTGAGTCATTTATGCAAACGGTTGTGCTCATTTTATGATTCGACTTCTGATCCAGACATTCCTCGTGAAGGAAGTCTTGTTCTCCTACTTCAGAGTCAACATCAACCTCTTTGAAGTGCTCGTTGGAGGAGAAGAACAATTGAAATTAGAGAAAGAAAATATGGCTCTTGATCTTGCTAGATACTCCGAACATGGAGAGCACTAAATCCCAGTTGGCTGAAACCGAGCTACTCCTAGCAGAGATTAAGTCACAATTGGCATCTGCTCAAAAGGCAAACAGTTTGTCCGAAATTAAGCTCAAATGCATGGTAGAGTCATACAACTCACTTGAAACTCGGAATGAGGAGTTGCAAGCTGAAGTCAACCGTCTTCAGGCAAAGATAGGAAGTCTTGATAATCACCAGGATACCCTAGCTAGTTGCAAGGATTTTGATGAACATCTACAAAGGTTAGTGGTTTCTTATCCACATTGGCCTGGAATTATAAATATTTAACTGTCAAAATTAGTTTTTAAAGTTATCACATTGTTCTTCGTCCTATAGAACGGATTTTACTTTATTGTGGAAGTATCTATTGATATCTCAAATACTTGAAGTTTTTGTATATAAGTGAATTTTGCTCCAACCCCCTAATCTTTGGATGAAAAGAGTCAAAGTTTTTTCTTTGACCATGATTGTCTTATATTTTGAACTATTAACTTTTAATAATTATTATACTTTTTATGTAGTTTCTTAAAATTTTATTTCAGACATGAAGATTCTATGTCTGAATTTGCGTAGAAAATAAAGTTGTGAGACTCTCATACTCCGGACCCACCCAAAATGAAACAGAGGAAGGAAAAGGAAAAGGCAAACAGTTTGTCTGGACTTTTGATCTAATTTCACATTAACTCAATGAAAGGCAATAGATTTCAGTATGCAACTGAACTTTGAAATAAATATTGGTGTTATATTGTTGCTAACAAATAGATTTATTTTTGTTTTGCTCCATCTCTCTAAGTTTGTTTCAGGTACAGAAGTTCCAATGCATATGAAAAGATTTGCAAATTAAACATTTATAATATATGAGCAAATAATGATATTTGGATGACTTTTAAGTCTCACTATGCTTTCAGAACTCAATAAATCATGTGTTTTCTGGCGAGGGCCATAATTTAAATAGTAAAAGAACAATAAGAAATTGATATAGTTTTTAGTAAACATGGAGTTTCGTAATGTTTTGCTTCAGCTGTGATAATCTTCTTATTGAAACCGAGATTCAAAATCCTCAGAGGCGACGACAAATTTCCAATAGAAGCTGTAATTTCACCAGTAAGGTTACAATTTGAGAGGACTAGCACTTCAAGGAATGAACTTGCTTTATGAGAAGGTTGATAAGTAGCACATTTATGAGAGAGTTTATGTAGCACATATATGTAAAATATGAGATAAGGTTGCTTGTAATGCTAATGTCATTGATATCTAGATGAACGAGAAGTGAAATCATGATGAGTCAAAGAAATTAAAAGACGTATTCTTTTCTAGGAATTATTATATTTATAATCAAACAACCGATAACCTTAAAAACACCCTTCTACCTGACGAACTAAACTTAGATATACCCTCGATCTACCACATAACTTAATTCTTTTACCCCAAATGTGGCTAGTTTAATAAACAAAAAACTAATTCAAAATAATCACCAACTATAATTTTGAAACAAAATCTTATACCACTATCTTCTTTGGATTTAGCTAACTCGTGAGATTTTATCGAATATGTTATTGTTTCAATGCTTACTCAAACATTACTTTCAAATTCAATTAAATTCAAATGTACTAAACCTAGTATAAGGTCACATATATCATTTCCTATAACAAAAATTATTTTTATTAATAAAATGTGTCAATGACCATATATAATTACTACTTGTAATTTTAATTTATAAAAAAATAAAAGTAAAAGCAAAGGGGAAGCGCCAGCTTGACCAAAGTCAAGAACGAATCCCTTCAAAATCCTTCCGTTGTGAGCTCCTAACGGATAGCCAATTTAAATCTCTCTTTTCCCACATTTTTCACAATTACAAATTACAGCTTTCTTCTTCGTTTTAGGAGGAGGAGAAGAGGAGAAGAGGCGTTCATCTGTGACCGGAAAATTGAATGTTGGAGTGAAGGTACGACCGCTACTTTCTTAGACGTCGACTCATGTGTACTTGTAGGAAAATAATTGGGTTTTGTGTTTTTTCTTGATTACTGGGTTTGATGATTCACATTTTTGTATGTTGGCTAGGGGTTTCTTGTGTTAATTTGTGTACGGAAAGATAATCTAGGTGGGTTTTTTGATTTCTTTTTCTGGGGTTCTCTTTCTCGGATAAAATAAGTAAATTGGTTAATGTTACCTTGGGTTTCATGAAAAAATGATTAAAGATTCTTGAAGTTTTTTGGTCGAGATTGTGATATTTGGAAGTTGAATTCTTTGTTAATTGACTTCCCTTGTATAAACAAGTTCACTGTCCACTTTGCTTTTTGAAAATTTAAAGAAAGTTCTAATGTTTGTATGTTAATGGGTGGAAGGAAAGTTTAAA